AGGGGGTCACAGGATCTAGAGACCCCCCTCAAGCACTCCTGGGAGGTCAGGACAGCACATTCTGAGTTCTAACTGATGGGGCTCATGTGTGAGGCCACCAGCAGAGGTGATAGTGTCGCTACATGAGGGCTAAGCCAGGATTTCAGTCCAGAGCATCCCTCTGAAGCCCTGTGCCTCGGCTCCCAGTGGCCACTGCCAGATAACTGAGGACAGGGACGATGCAGAGCCTGCACACTCCGCTTTCCTCCCTTTGCCACTTTATCTGCACTGTCGGATTGCTGTTGGAGCTGGTGCTGACTGACTCTATTTCCCTCAGATTGAGCTCACATTGTTCCTGCTCCGTGCTCCGACGGCATTCTGTCAGCCCTGCTGATGGACAGTCCCACTGAGTCCGGCTTCCTGAGCAGACCAGACAGGCCCGCTGTTTTCTCCGTGTCTCTTATTGCCCCTTGTCATTAAAGGAGATGCCTGGCTTCAACTTCAATTTGTGCTGAAAAACAGCAGTAAAGGGAGAAAGAAGGGAAGTGCTCATCACTGTTATTAAGGCCACTGTGCTTCTCGCTGCTCCAAGACTCACCCCCTCTAGGAAGGTTTCCATCAAAGGATACATTTGTGAGCGATGGAGTTGAAGCTGCGCAATGAGACATTATATAGCAAACTTTCTTAGGGAACTTTCCACCCCTCCCTCAGCCTCCCTACCTCACCCTTCCTCCCCCCCACCACCTCACCCTTTCTCCCCCCCCCCCCCCCTGTATTACTCTCATTTGCATGTCTTGAATGTTGAGTGGGTGGGATGTGCTTGGAAAAGAAAAGTGGCAGGGAAGAAATGAATGCAAAGTGCTGCTCCTGCTGCAGAGCTTGGCTTCTTGATGGTGTTAAGCAGGGTTCTCATCAGTTTTAATCTTCCTCATTAACATCCTCCTGTCTGTGCATCTCCTTGTTTACAGCACGGAGTCCATCTCTCTCAGTGTGCACATTAGAAATTTAACATCCTGCCCAAAGAACTCACACTCTTAAAAATGTTTCTTCACCTAAACAGATGTCCTTTCAAACTTTACAAGCAGACCTGTAGGAAATGTGGTATCCCACACATAATTTGAAATAAATATTAAAATTTTCCCAATGCAACCTCAGCGAAAGAGGAAGAAAAAAAATGAGACTGTGAACTTTGAAAAGATATGTGATATAATCTATTTAATAACATTCCCTACAACGATTTCAGAAGTGGGTGAGTTTCAAAGGGATTAAATGTGTTAAATAATAATCAAAATAAAATAAGATTGGGGGGAAGGAAAGAAAACTAGCCAGCATCATTTAAAGATGTGTTGTTATCTTGATGGAGGTGAAAAGGTGCCAGGATGTGAGGAGAGGAAATTATAGTCAGAGTAGAAGATAGTGGCACGGCATGCTCTCTATTTTTCTGGACTTTGTGTTAACTCTATGGGCTCAGAAACTGGCTTAATGATTTTTCCAGGATTCAGTCTGGCCCTTTATCAGTTCACTGAAACAAGAACATAAGCCAGGAGAGCCTGAAAAATTGCTGCAGCAAAACATTTCCTTCTGCTGGGCTGCTGTTCGCTGCTTTGACCACCGGCCTTGGCCTTTGGGGTTTATGCCTGGACAGAGAGTTAAAGAACAATTCCTAAAGGTCAAACAAGTCGACAGTAGTCAGGGACTCAGAGAAAAAAGAGGGGGCTCTGGGCATCTGGACACATCCATTTTCTCTTGCTCACGCTGTTTGGCTGCTATGAAATGCTCAGCTAACCCTAATTGAATTTGACAATAATAAATCACATGTTGAAACCATATAGCTCACCTAAGGCATAGCAATGGAAATGGTGAAGACACCAGAAGCTGGAGTTCAGGAAATGTCATATTCATATAGAAATGCTTTAAATTTTTCCCAGAGCTTTATTGTCTTTTCTACAGAAAGGTTCCAGACCACCCAGTGCTCAGGTCCACTTTGGAAACTGCACATAAAATCATCACTTTAATTCAGCTCTGCCTTCGTTGTCATCCTGTAGCTTTAAGCCCATAAACAAAAAGGAACTGAACTTTCAGAAAAGGAGACAAGAGCACAGCAGATGAGTTCACCCTTCCCTCATCCCCAGGAGCTGATCACACCCTAGCGGAGAGGGTTTGTGAAGTCTAAAAGTAAAACATGTTTCAGCCTTATTTTCCTCTCCCCTCCCCCTGGCACCACACAGTCCTATAAGGAGAGCAGTTCCTGGTGTCATTGTAAGAACACAGCTTCCAAATCTCAATCTCTGGGGCTAGCAGAAGACTTATTTAAAGGAGCGTTTCCACACCCACCCTGTCAATCAGAGCCACGTGCACTCCCATGCCTGGACTTTCCCATGCCCCTTTTAAGGACCCCCTGCACCCCAAACCTTACAGACTAAATCATTCACTTTACATTTTCTTTGAAGGATGCCACAGGAACAAGTAAAGTCCTTCGGGAGGAGTGAAGTGTCCTTAGTCTTCCCCTAAGCTGACTGGGCACAGCGCATGGATGCTCTAGATGTCAGCTCAGTTGCATCTGGCATAGTGAGCCGCTGTTTTGTTTTGATGGAACCTCATCCTTTTCCTTCACAAGGTCTTTTGGTCTAATTAAATTTCAGGGAGACAGAGCCTTGGCAGGAGGTTAAAGTAAGCTGCTAGACTGGAATGTAGGAGTTGGGCTCAAAACTAAATTGGGAAGTTTAACTGGGTGCGTCTCCGGTTTCAATGAAATACTTTTACAGTGCATGGTAGCAATGTCTGTTTCTAAGCTTTTGAAAACCATTTTTCTTTTTTCCTTAATTGTAGTTCCCTAGTTGTTTTTATATTATGAGCTACTTGTAGAAAAATACAGGAAACATAATTACAATACAAACCTCCCTTTCCCAAGCCTACTGAGATTACTTGAAGCCAGGGTTGGTTTTAAGGTTTTGCTAACTATAAGTTCAGAGTCATGAATTGCATCCTATGCAGCGCTAGTTGATTTACAACAAGCATTTCGTGATTAAACAATAACCGTGTTTCTGCAGGCTCTGTAGGTGCTGTAGAATTAGAGGGCCATGTTGCCTCTCACAGCTCCCTCTGGGGAACAAGAATGAACATCATTGTGTCTCCCACAGGAAAGCAGAAGTATGGTAGAAGCACAGACAAGCTTATTTAGGGAAGAGAAAGAGAAATAAATTGGTTTGTTTTTTCCACTTATATTTCCATTTCCATGTAGCACTGTGTTAAATTGCTAAGTATCAATTTTTGTACCCTACTTTTATTGAAGAATCTGTATATGGACGCCTGGGCCAGCAGAAATAACTTGTTTCACTATTATTAATACACCGGAGAGGAAATCAGTACTTCAGTGTATTATAAAATGGAAAGCCTTTGGGAGTTTGATTTATTCAACCCCAAGTAATGATGGATGGTTGAGAATGAGAGCTGTTGAATGTACCCTGTTAGCATACCATTTCAAGCAAACAGTATAGATATTCAGAAGTAGTTTTCCAGTGAAGGTGAATGCGCAGATGCCTTGCAGAGAGGCTCAGGGTGGCCTGCCCACTGTGGGTCTACAACACACCAGCCTGCTCCTCTCAGGGGACTCCCAGGAAAGTCTGTGGGGGAGGCTCTCAGTTGTAGCTCCATTATCTGTTACTTTCACTTGATATAACTGGTTTTAAGTTGTTCTATAATATCACGTGTAGGGAAAATGGTGTCTTTATGAGATACTTATCTTGTTTAAAGTTGGACTGTTTTCATGCTGCCTTCACATTCTCCTGTTTTGAGTACTCATCTTGTAATTTGATGAATACATTTGTATATGGAAAAGCTAAATGTTTATCTTACCCCCAAAATGGCCAAGTACTTTTCTTTCTTTTTTCTTCTTTCCTTCTCATTCTTTCTTTCTTTCTTTCTGCCCTCCCTTTTTGCAACTCATCTTGAAATCCTCATCTCAATTTTCTTTAGAGAGTTGTAATAAGAAATTGGTGAGTGAGGGCTGAGATGCAGGATTAATTTATTCTCCTCTGGTTTTCTTTTAGCAAGCTTTCCTTCCAAGGAAGTGTTTTAAATGGATGGAAACTCTCAGAAGCCCTGGTGTGCTTGGTTTCCGCTCTGCCCTGGCGGCTGGGGGAGCAGACTGCCAGAGCTATGGGCACACTGTTTCATACTTTTTAGTATTTTGATAAGACCCCCTCCGATAGGAGGAGAAACTTAAGTATCAAGCAAATGGCGGCCCAGGCCTCTGGCACTGGAGCTGGAAGTTGTTTGAAAATTAACTTGATCCTGCAGCGGAGTAGTTAGGTGACACTGCAGAGGGAGGCGAGCAAGGCAGCGTTGCAAACTGCCCGGTGAGGTGCGCATCATTAGTGGGTGGAGAGGAGCCTTTCTATGGAGCAGACCAGAACGAACCGGAGAGGAAACGCTGTGTGCACTGTCCCTGGAAGGCAGGGCTGCTTCGGGAATCTTCGGTTTCGCTTTATGTGCCTGTGGGTGTGCCGGGTGGCAGTGTGAACCGCGGGCGCCAGAGAAGCAGGGAGCCGCCGGGAAGGACCGCGGCCGGAGTGACCGTGGCCGGGCAGAAGGGGGCGGCCGCCCGCCTGGCGCGAGTCCCCAGCCACATCCTCGCTCCGCGGCGCGCTGGTGGCAGGGGCGGGCGCGCGGCGTCCGGCTCCGGGAGGAGCTGAGGGACAGTGACACTCACTTCTCCCTCTTCTTGCCTGAGAACCGTAGTGTTTCCAAACAGTTCACACATTAGTGTCTCTGTCAGCCTCCTGTACATGCCGTTAAGTCACGAGGCGTCTGTGGACGGGGGGCACGCGGGCTGCGCACGGACGGCTGTCCCCTCCCCCGGGGCAGCGCCGGCTTAGACGGACCATCGCCAGATTCACGCTCCCAGAGCCCAGGCGGTGGCCCCGCGGCGACCTGGTGGAGGGAAACGGGAGCCTTGAACTTAGGGACCGCCACCCTGACCACGCCCGTCTCCCTCTCTCCCTCTTTCTCTCCACCCGTAGGACTTTCTGCAAGGAGACTGCACCAAAGCGAAACAGAAGCTGAACTGGAAGCCCCGGGTGGCTTTTGATGTAAGTGTCCCCGCGCGGTGGGACCCGCGGGCTCCCTGGCCGCAGGACTAGTCCGATGGGCCCCGAGGGAAGGCGGCCACCTGGCCGGCAGCTGGAGGCCGGGGGTGCCAGGTCGGAGGGCGAGGAGGCAAGGGAGGCCGCCACAGGGTGGTGTCGCCAGGAGAGAGTGACGGAAACCCCACTTCAGCGCCTACCCTTTGTCTCGGATCCCAGGAGCTGGTGCGGGAGATGGTGGACGCCGACGTGGAGCTCATGAGGAACAACCCCAATGCCTGAGCGTGAGTGTGGCCGCCCCGCCGAGCCGCCACCAGCCTCTGGCCCGGCAGAACCAGCCCCTGGGGCCGCACCAGGGGTCCAGGAGGAGGAGGGGCGCGCCCTTCCAAGAGCTGCCGGAGACCTGGCAGCCACTGCGAAGTGGATGGGGTTTGCAGCAGCCGGGACAGGACGCGTTGCTCCCGTTTGGCCCACTTTCCCTTTGTCGCGGCCTTCTCTGAACGGTTTTACGAAATCAAAAAGATGTTTTAATCACATGTTCACTTTACTTGAAATTATGTCATTAGACAGCTGAAATTGTGAGGCTTTCAACTGATTTTTCTTTTTTTCTGATTAAAAAATGGCCTTTCTATAAACCAGCAGGAGGAGTTGATGTCCATGTTTTCTGCAAGTTATAAAAGCAGCTATAGGGCCACAAAACAAAACAGAAAACCTCTATCCAAGGCTTGGAGTGAAATATCTCCCTGCAGGCCTGCTGGCTTTTGAGAGAGCCCCTGCCGGCAGCCCCTGCGGGGCCCAGGCTGACTTTGCCTGTGTGTCCTCCTAAGTCTTTGCCTGGACATTTGTCTCCCTCCCAGTGACAATAAGCCACTCTCTCCAGCCCATTTGGAAACCCAGTTCCTGCAGAAAGGAGGCATTCACACCGCTCTGGTCTCTGCTGACTATAATTAGAACCCACGGGGCTCCAGTCATCTCAAAGGAAGGTTTCAGAAATAGAGGGGGCTAGGAGAAGAAACTTGAAGGTAAGTAAATATTGTTGGAACATTCCAGCTGAAGCCCCTGGGTTATCCAGAGGTCTGTGAGCCCATGCTTTCCCTTGTGGTCTAGAATCTTACACAATATGCACTTCTAACCTCTCCTCAGTGCTAGATCACTTTTTAAATCTAATTTTGATTTAGTCATTAAACCAATTTACATTAAGTGCCTAATATATGCCAAGTCCTGTGCCCTTCAACTATATCAGCATTAATTAGAAATTATAATTAGGAGTTTTAGGTCTGGGCCTAGGATCACGGACCAGTTTCACTGAGTGCATCATTTAGGTGGCCTGGCTTGCACCACAGGCATGGTCTCCCGAGTCATGGTAAGTGTGAACACAGCCATGGCAGGTGAACACACAAACATATGGAATCTGCAGCAGCAAGCAAGAAACTGCATATAGGTGGAGACCTCTGCATGAAATGCCATATTTTGCTACAGAACAAATTAAATCAGGGCTCTTCTTCCCCTTACTTTCCCTCCAAGGAAAATAAAATAAAACTTTATAGCAAATGGACTTCCAGCCTTTCCCATCCCCTGTGAGTGCAGGCGAGCTGTTTCTGAATGTATTCTCTAGCAGGTTTACGGTCTGGGAGGACCCAGGCTCCGAAGGCTGGCGGCAGGAAAGAGGATTCTTTGTGTGGCTGCCCAGAGTTGCTGTGACAGCATACTAGTAAGGGCCAGCCTCAGCTTTGATGGAGCAGAACTAGGGTGGCCTGAGCTAGCTAGCAGCCCCCTTCTCAGAAGCTGCCCCAGGATGGGGCCTTCTCCCAATCGGGATGCTGCTAATTGGAAACAGATGGTCCCTGGCAGACTGGGCCTTCAGGATGAGGCAGGCTGGTGGGCACACATACACACACACTCACACTTACATGTTCACACAATGTCACTCACAGACTTCATACAGACACCCAAACACTCACAAACACAAATACACACCTACCAACAAGCCATCTCACACACATTCACTCACTTGCAAACATAACTCACAAACCTGCTATCACACTGTCACACACATACTCACAGATAAACACATTCACACACATTCCCCTTAGCCTTGACTTGACAGACTGACATCTCCTTTTCTCCTCTGATCCCCTGAACCCTCCACCTCATCCCAGACCCAGGCATAGAGACCATTCTAGGGCTTGCAGTGACCCCATTCAATTCAGTGACTTGTTAGCCTAAAGGCCTACTGAGCTAGCTCCTCAGTGAAGACCAGGACAGATCCTAGGTAGGGGTGTAATGGGAGTCCAGTGGAGCCATAACGTTAAACTGTTCTTCCCAAAATGGTCTGGAGAATGAGTTTCTGAAAGACAGAGTATTTTTTGTTGCAATCTTCTCTCTATTCCCACATCCTCAATGGGGAAGTGGGGGCTACTTGGCTTCTAAACCTCAAGGAGGAAAACAGAACAAATCTGAGTCTTTTTGTGCTGAGTTTCATTTGGACATCCTTCAAGACTATTTTATCTTAAATATCAATTCAATTTCAATGAACTTATTTTCCCCTTTTTTCTGCTCTGCCAGCTTTGGCTATTCATTTTAGATGGGATAAATATGTTCCATCTCCATTTTTTAAGTTAAAAACTAAAAAACATAATTTTAGTGCACTCAAATACTATAGCAAAGCCATCCAACCCCGCATTGGTGCCCTAGGTGAGCAACAACACCCAGCAGCCTCACTTCCCATCAGACTTGCCTGCCAGACTGTCATGGGTTTTGTCTGCTGCCCTTTGTCATTAGGGAATTGGAAGGGAGCTGGGTCAGGCATAATAAGCCTGGCACACCTCCACAGCTATTGAGAACCAAAGCTGGTAGCAGACTGCAGGACCCTTAGGGAGAGAGCTTGGGAGATGGTGCTCCCTGTAAGCCGGCTCCTCAGGACATTGATTTCAGGCTGTGGAACTGCTTCAGGCTCCTCTTGTCTCCTTTAATCACCAACACCAACCACCAAGATTCCCTACAACCTGGGCCACATTGGCTGGCTGCTGGCAAATGAGACCTTCCCTGTGTTATTAAAGGTTGTGGCAAGAGATAGCACTTTGAAATCTCATTTCAAAATAACCTTAAACTTTACAAATAAATATGTAAGCCCCCCAAAAAGCCTCAAAGCATCCCCAGCATCTTGTTTGCTGTGGGGATTCCAATCAGGTATTCTCATATGTGTGTGTGTGAGTGTGTGTGTGTAATTAAATCTTTATTGTTGAAAGTATTATGATATTCTCAGTTTTAAGATATATCCCAAAAGTCCAAATTCACATTCATCTATTTTTCATGACCTACACTATAGCCTTCAGTACACTGGGGTTTAAAAAATATCCTGTGTCTCTGTGTGCACATGTGTTACAAACATAGTCCAACACGCCACTGACATCTCCAGAAATTGTGGGTTTTAGTCACTGGGAATTTTCACAAACAGCAGCGACAACCGGGACATGCAGCCTCTGTGGAGGCCAGCCCACCCTCTGCAGCGGGAGGTTTGCCACAGTCCACAGTGTCCTTTCCAACCCACAGGGTCTGGGCTGGATTTCTCCCAGGAGTCATGGGGGTGCTGCTGCCCTGCCCCAAGCAGCTCCAGGCCAGGACCTCCCTGTGACCTCCTTGCTCCCTCTGATGCACACTCCGAAAGCGGGAAGCACATTTTGAGGGTGTGTGACATCAGGATTATTACCAAGACTGGACCTCCGGCCATTTGACGTCCCAAACCTATGTGGCCATCGCTCCCTCCTGCAGACCCAAGCTGCGGGCCTTTCTGCAGGCAGCCAGAGTGCACCCTCGCTGCTCCAGTGTGTGCTTTATCCCCGAGGCCTTCCAAGGCCTCTTTAGAAATATGATGGCTGGGCCCCACTCCACCCTCACGGGTTTCCTCAGCCAAAGTCTCTGCTGGGAGGCCGACGACCGCGGGCTGACCCCAGGGCCGAAGCCTGCGCCTACTTGCCTACTCCGTCTTCCGCCCTTCCTCCCCCTTCCTCCAGTGTCAGAGGTCACACACAACTGACGCCCTGGACGCCAGGTTCTCAGCTGCCCCTTTTGATCTTTAAACTCTGGAACTGAGGCGCCTGCCTGTGTGCAAGCCCCTTGAGTCAGGCCACGTTCACTGGGACCGCTTTGCTGTGGTGCTGTAGGGCCCTAAGGCGACTGGGGAGGCCGCTGGTGACCCTTGCCCCCCGCCCTAGCTCTGAGCCCTGGGCGGGCCTCCTGGTCTCCTGTCTCTGGACTGGCAAACTACAGCCTCCCTGCGCCCTCCCTCTGCCAGGCTGGGCAGTAAGCCCTGCACACGTCTAGGGGCGCGGACAGCTCATCTCCCCGCCAGGCGCACCTGCAGGGAGCTGAGGAGGAGGTAGACAGGTGTCAGGTAACCTTAAGAAAAACAAAACAAAACAACAAAAACACCTTCCACAGCCATAGTCCTGGCCTCGCCAATGCTCTGGTGCACTCAGGGTGTGCGCGGGGATGGACGCTTAGAAAAGCTGAAGTTCCAAAACACGAGAGCTTTGGTGACCTGGGGCAGCACCTGAAATTGGGGCTCCTGACTCCCACCAGCCTGATGGGAGGCCCTGGGGCTGACTAACCTGTGAGGAAGTAGCACCGCCCGAGGCCCAGGCTGGAGTGCGGCCGACGCGGGAATATATATTTGGAAGGGGTCAGGACCTCGGCTGGAGCCTGACTTTTTATGGTGAGGAAGCCGCCAGGGACGGGCCTTCTGGCGGGGCTTTCCTGTTGTGCCACTTCTCCCCTGCGGCAGCAGCGCCAGGAAGAAAGGGAGGTGTGATCCAGGCGCATCGGCACCCTGAGGCCCCTGGCTCCGACTCTTTCCTCAGGACTGAGTGGATCACAGGCCGCAGAGAAGCCAGGTGGCCAACGCAGAGCAATGTCGCATTATTTCCCGGTCACCAAACACTTACTGTACATCATTGCCCTGCACTCCCGGATATTCCGTCGAACCAGAGAGGGAGTGGGAGTGGGCGTGCAGGACGCGGGCGGTGGGGAGTCTGAGGACTGACTGACGACCCAGGGCAGCACCCTACCGAATTCTATCTGGGAATATCTCGCACTTAGACAGACAGCCCTTGGCTATGGGAACAGTGGTGGGGTCAAATTCCCCTGGCTCTTCCCAGGACACAGGACTGAGGCTCTGGTGGCACCTCAATTCTGGTTAGCGCATACTCTTCCCCTTGGCCAACCCTAAAGGTGGTGTCCTCCAGCAGAGCTATAATGAGGATCCCCATTAGAAATGCAAGGAA